TTGTGACCTAAATCTAAACTAACAAAAGACCCTGAAGAATACTTATTGCATCTGTCATTTTAGTCACAATTTCTGTGACCACTGGCATGTACATGTGTACAGGGAATTTATTACCCTCTTGCAATATTACTACCCTTCACCTTCTTATGAGGAAAATAGAAAATGAGAAAGAGGAAGGGTCTACAAAGTCTCACATGGCAAATAAAGCACAAAGAAAGGAATATCAGAGCTATAGTATTATTTAGCCTGCTGTTTATGAAACGTAGAAAAAAATTCAACTTATAGTATTACGATTTCTATTTGTTTTTCCACTGCACTTCAAGGGTATAAAATGGAAAATACATGAGAATAGTAGTCTCAAAGAAGGGCTTTTTTTACGGTGCTTTCCAAATTGATAAGAAGAATACACAGACACAACAGGGATTACAAGTCTCTCAGATGAAGCGTCTCTCATTTAAACTTGTTTCTGCTTTCTTCATGGAATGAGATAATCTCTCCAAAATCAGTATTTTTTTTGAAAAAATGACTCAAAGAAAGGTAATTGCTAATGTAAGGCTTAGAGGTCAGAACAAATGTGGGAAGAGAGGTAAGAAGAGGAATAATAAATATATAGATAAAATTAGAAAAGAGTCAAGATGAGGTAATTTCACAAGCCAATTAATCTAGAAAATGCTTAACTGTTTCACTGAAGATCAGGAAAAGAAAAAGGAATGATCATACAGCCTTTTCTATGAAAGAGCTTTGCTTACACAACACATGGATGAGTTAGATCCTCCCCAATTTAATCCTGACATGTTAATATCTGAGTCAAAAGGCACAAGTATGAATAACTTTAGTATTTGTATTAGCTAAAATTAAACTCACCAGGAATACTGAACTGGGTGGAAAAGACCTATTTGTGTCTAACGGTTTCTGTTTCAGATGAAATATAAATTTATTTCTGTGGTTTTTTGTTGTGTTGCAATACTAGTGCCTTTGGTGAAAATTAAATCTGATACAAAACCAAAGCAACAACAATTTAGTCAAGAAAATGCCATAGAAAATGCAATAAAAAGTGACCCCAAATTAAAAAAAGGACTACACGAACTATTTTCTATTCTCATTATATTTTAATTATATGTATAGGGAATTGTTTTAATTTAAATGATTTATTGCGAAATAATAGATCATTTTCATTTGACAGGGAATTAATGTTACTTTTGCTTTGTCACTTTCCTGTTGGATGTAAGTCATCTGTTCCTCAGTATGACACTGTCCTGCAGCTGAATGCCTGATAGTGGCAAGCATACTAATATGCCAAGCATTTTAGTGGCATAGGGGAGAACCATCTCGTTCTCCTCCAATGTTGAAGCAGGCCTACAACTTATAACTTCATTTTAAAATCCTGACATCAAGCTATGCTCTCCAAAATTAAGAACACCAGTATTTCTTGTAAGTAGAAATCTTATGACACTTGTAGTCCTAATCTTATTTAATTACACAATTAAAATGGAATGAAATTACTAATTTATAGCACTTTTTAAAGTTGTCAAGACAAATTACGGTATGCAATAGAAATCGCATGACTACCAGAATGATAATCTCGTAATTAACAGTGTACACTACCAATTACAAAGCAAAGCTCACGCCTTTAGAACAAAACTATACTGACAAACATAGGTAAGTAGACAACCTTTTTCAGAACTTAATTTTTGTGATTAGTTTTCCACAGGCTATAGTATCTTAACAAGCAGAAAAATAATGTGCATCACTGGTGTCACTGTGATTTAACCAGCAAAAAAAGAAAAGAGAGAACTATTACGAATAAGCAATTGAGTGCCTTAATTCATAAAAACAACAGCACATTTTGGGAAAGGTGTGGTGGGCAAGATAAAGGTGCCATTGAGAAGCATCTATATTAAAAAAATATATCCATGCAGCACATAACCTGACCTGGGGTTATTTTGAGGAGGGCATAGTGTTTCTTCACCAGTGCATTGAATTACACCAACATATTCTTCACATCTTCTCTTACAAACAACTCAAAATAATTTTTTTTTCTGGACATTTTCTAAATATTCTATTTAGAAAATATTCTGCCAATATATGTTTTGGTAATTTACTTCCATGGCAACAGAATCATTAATCCTTAAAAATTCCAACAGCTGCTTTACAGAAATTGTATTATTTTCCTGGCACCACAATCCTTATCGTGTCACCAAACCCAACATTCCTGGTGTAGTTAATACAGTGACAGTCACAAACAAAATTTAAAGTACTACATAGCATGCTGCATTTTAGTAGAAGATTTTGATATCTTCCATGCAAATACAGAAGGTGCAGAAATACATGTGTGGTCTCTTCCAGATCCAGCATGCCAGTGCATAAGGCAGACAAATACAGAACTTGTAATTCCTTATCCAAAGTACTCAGAGCCAAAGCAAGCACAACCCAACTGGGTTGTTGCCTTCCTTTTTGCAATCTCTTGATTTCAGATTCCAGTTGCTATAGGGACATCTATCTTTCATTTCTATATGGACAGTCACAGTTACTGCAGACTTTTTGGCAGCTCTTCTGAATCTTAGACTCTCAAGCTGTGCACTTAAGAGAAAACTTAATCTTCATTTTACTGCAAAGATCCAAAATAATGTTCATGGTTCTGTAGGATAATTTGAATATGCAAACTGAGTAACCCAAAAAGGCCCAAATGTCTGGAAGCAACCCATATTTTTATTTTAAAGTTTTTTTAACAAACTCATGACATTTGGGGCCAGCTTCTCACTTCTGAACAGACGGGTTTTGCAATGCTAGGTCCGTCACAAATGAATAAGCCCTCATACAAGGTATACTATGGTCAACATTTTGACCAGATGGAGACCTGGGGAATTCCCTGGCAAGGGAATCCTAAAACTGCACATGGCTGAATATACACTGCCCTTTCCCAGAACACTCTGGACAGGGGAGCTGTTTGGGGTGTGCTGCTAGTATAACAGCCTGCACACCAGTGGGTGAACTCCTGCAAACAGCACAAAGTAGCGCTTCCTTCAGCCTGGTCAAGAAAACAGAAGCACAATGGCAAATCACATAGATTGCCGCAGTGAGGGAAAAAGCAAAAGCACTCCTTAAAACCTCTTGCAAATTTTATAGCACAGCAGTTAGATTCCAAATCTTGTCTGCGGCTCTGAACTGCAGATGTCCGGGTTCCAGTTCTTGCTTCAATTTGTATGCAAGCAGTTGGCCTTGACTATCTCATTTATATGAAAGTGAGGTGGGGCTTATTCAAAACTTAGGATAGTAATTTAAAAATCCCCACAGAATACATAACTGGCTTGTGGTGTTTACTGCCAGAGAATATTATCAAGCTCATTAAAACTGCATCTTTAAAAGAACTTTTACGAGTAGGGAAAACCTTAATGTTTAAGGATATTACTCAGGATGAGACCTTCACGATGCAAGACTGTATCATCCTCCCTACAGTGCCCTCAGAAGCATCTCATAGTGGTAACTACTAGAGGGTGTTTTCATGCTAACATGAAAGGACCTCAGTCCAATGTAGTATTTCACTGTTAATGTACTTCTGTTCTATACTTCAGTTCTGATAAGGGTAAAGCAATTTCTTTTCCAATGTATTTGACTACTTTGAAGCCCAGTTGCTTCATCAAACTACATTTTTTATTACATATTTTCAAGAATTTCCTGCTAATCTCTCAAAAACATTGGAAAGCCTCTTCCTTCAATGAAACTGGTGCCATTCAGTACCTATCTGCAGCTGATGCCATTCAAAAAACTAGCAAGCTGAAGAAGTGAGACACTATTTCAAACAATGAAATTTCTCTTAAAGAGCAATGGTACTCTGCTCAGTACCTCTTGTGAAATCCGATTCCAAAATGAAGAGAGGAGAGCTTTAAATTGCACACAGAAAAAGAAAATAAAGTTGCCAATCAGACAAAAATGTTAGTTTCAATACTATTCTATACCTTTAAATAAATTAACAATTAACCAAGTAATCTTTCTTAGAATTCATTTTCCTAAATTCTCAAACGCATGCATTTTTTTTTAGCTTACCTATGTTTGCTATTTTCATAAGGAATTAGAAACCTTTACCTATAAATATCTGGGGGAAAAAATCACTACCTTTCAGTAATATATCAAGAAACACTTCATCATTTTGAATGAAAGAGAAATAGAGTTCATAAAAATGGTGCTTCTACTGCACTACATACTATTCTACGATACAGTGCTTTCAGCAGTATTATAGAATGAGAATTTTAAATCTTTTTATTCCATATTAATCAATTCCGGGTTTTTTATCCTAAATCCTACGTATTATTTCAAAAAGTTTCTAAAATCTCACCATCTCAACTTAGGATTCAGAAACTATCAAAATGCCAGGTATAGATTTCTGTAACAGTTAGCTAGAGAGGAGCCTTTTAATTTTTGCAGCATGAATTGGAACACCAAGCATCAGCCAGAGTCATACTCTGTCAAGATTAGAGAAAAACATTTCCTGAAGTCTTATGTTTTCAGGAACATCAGGAAAAGCTAAGAAGGAAGAATGACTATCATTAGCATTATCAATCACGGAGTGTCTGACCTGGACAGCTAAAAGGATTAGAATTTCTAAGAATTGCTCTCCTTTTATTATTCTAAGACTTTCCCACTAACAAATACTCAGGCACACCCAGGATCTTTCAAAAATCATATGAGAAAGCAGATGGCTATAAAAATTCAAAGACTAAAAACTGCTTTACCTCCAGTTTAAAAAAAAAAAAAAAAAAAAAAGAAGTAGAAATTACCCTACAGATGTTAATAATTGTCTGGGGTGGGAGTCAGGGAAGGGGGAGGCTGGCTTCTAAGTAAACAATGCAAAAAAAGACAAAGAAGTCCCTGCTGATGTAAAACAATAAAAGCAGTTTTCTCAGCAGTGTCAGCTTAGCAAGCCTGAGGGTCTGTATTTTAAACCCCAGTGGCCTGACGTCACTCACCCTGATGGTGTGTGTGAAGGAAGCTATCTCTCCGCGATGACCGACCTGAAAAGTGTTTTCAAAGCCCAGTGGGCTAATGTCACTCACACCGATGGTGGATGGTGGGATCTCTCAGGGTGGCAGCCTGGGGGAAGTGAGCTG